CAACGGTCGGAAGAAGAAAGACAACACAGAACTTCAATCGAATATAGCTAAATTAAAAATATAATAGAACATTTACCGCCACATCTAATGTTGGGTGAGTTAACTATATCAAGATGCATCAAACCAATGGGATGGAGCCGGAAAAGGGTTAAAAAAGAACCAGATAGACGGAATTTCCCAGATGTCATCAATATTCGTAAAGAATTTTGCCTAAAATGATGATCGTGCTATTCCCAAAAATATTCTATTTAGATCAGGTTTCAATTCCCACGTCATTTCTCGGGCTGGGTAAGAGGGCATCCGTCAAACTCCCTCCATCAAAAAGAAAAAATGTATCGGTTTTGGGTACCATAGAAATTAATGGTCTATAAAAATACACGATTATAAACGGGGCATTTACAGCAATTAAATTTAAAACTTACCTGGATGAATTATCATCCATTTTGCCGTTGAATTCACTCATAATTATGGATAATGCCCCTATTCATAGTGCCCATATAATAACTCAAAATTATCAAAATAGCATTCTTCCACCTTGTTCCCGTCAACTAAACCCCATTAAAAAAAATTTTGGCGTTTTGAAAAATAAATATCGATCAATATATCTCACACCAAATAACAGAATCTATATAATTGAGGATTACTAGCCTTTTGCTTAATTTCATTAATTATGATCTCACTGCCTTCTACTCACAGAAGAGGGAATCCAATCTATTACTTTGAACTATTTATTTAATAGATAATTACACTAGATTATTATATAATATAGATTTTTTCGTTATACTATGTGCAATACAAATAGAAAAATAAATATTTTTTGATCTTTTATATAAATAAAGTGAATAATAAAGATTTCATTCACAAGTCATTTTCGAAATTATAATATAAGAAAGGTAAATTTCAGAGTTGTTAAAAGATACTTTTTAAATGGATCTAGATACGGATACATAGTCTAAAAATTTATCTAGATACAGATACAGCTTTTTAAAAGTTATCTTGATACAGATACAATTTAAAATGTATCTAGGTACAGAAATGTATCTAGGTAGATACATTTTTTATTATACTCTTAGATAAGGTTTGAATAAACTTAAATTAGGATTCTATTGTGAAAATTCATGAAATGATCTAAAAAATTTATTGACTTGATATCACATTTATCAAAATATAACTAAAATAATGATTTTTAGATATTAATATAATATATGATTAATAAAAATAATTATTTTATATCATTAATAAAATAATATAATATATGATTAAATGATTATAAATAATTATTAGATTTCAGTAATAAAATATTTTCAAAATTTTGATCATTAAGACATCCTCGTTTATCTGTAAAGACATTTTTAGCTATACTAAAAAGTCTTTCAACAGGGGCGCTGGAAGGGATTGTGGTGTTATATTAAATGAATAATATTTTTATATCAGGATATTGTTTAAAAATATTAAAATCTCGACATTCATTTTTGTAAAAACTATTTAAAATTTGTTGATTATCAGAATTTAAATCATTAACAATCATATCTCCTGCTGTGGGATACTGAAAAAAATCGGATATTAAATTATTGGTTTTTTTCACAGGTTAATTTGCACTCATTTGAAGACTTTGATAATTCCTCAACTAATCTTTGTATTAATTGTTTTTTTTAATAAAATTTTCATCCATTTGCAACCATGTCCAATCTAGTTTAAAAAAAGGATGAAGCATAGTTGCCAAAATATTTTCATCTTCAAAAATTGTCCCAATAAACCTAGAATTATTAAATATTGATTAATTTATTATTAATTTACCTATCTTCAATCCTTTTAAGTAAGGCATTTAAGAGTGGTAAACAAAATTTCACGTTCATTTGTTTAAAATTTTTCAATTTAATAATGAGCTGGGAAATAGTTGCACAGTATAAGCTGTGAAATGACTCCTATGTATGAACTAAAAATTAACATTTCTTAAAACAGCTCAAATAATTTGTTTGTAATTAAATTATTATACAAATTTAAATGTTAGCTATACCGGCGATAGGCACTCCAACAATCTGCTGTTGTGCATAATAACGATGGTTCTATTAGACTTTTAATGATTTCTTTCTTTTCATTCTCCCATCTTTGGGAAATTCTAGCAACCACTGTCTGTCTGCAAATTATATTTTTTTGTGGAGCTAATGTTTTGATCATTTTTATAAATCATGGATTTTCAACAACTGAAAATGGCTGAATGTTATCTATAATAAAATCAGCTATTAAATCATCTAAAGTGGTTTGGGTTAAAGTCTGAGGTCTCTTGGAAAAAAAATCAATGGACGATGAGCTTAGTCCAATACCTTCCCCTTTTTTATTTGGATTAAAGAGTGATGTTTTCTCTTAAAATTTAAAATTATAATTGTAAACATTTATTTAGTATTTATACCCTTAAATGTTTTACAATGTTGCAAGTTAAGGTAATGCTAACTGAAATTTGTATATTTTTTGGTAGACATGGCAAACATTTTACTAACAGAGATTTGTTTTCTTTATTTTGAGATATTATTTTAAAATATAATCTATAAATTGGTCATGGAATGTCGTCATTATCGTCATCAATATTAATCATAAAAATTAATATAATAGAATAAAATAAAATACCAATTCCATGGCAATTAAAAATGGCAAATTTCTTGAGATGGTTTGTAATATCAGAATTTGCTTGTTATTGATAACTCGGACATATTATTTAATTAATATTTATATATTCTTTTTTATATACAAGTTTTAATATTTTTCATATATATATAATTTTTTAATATATATATTAATATTAAGTTATATGCTCATAAGAAATAAAATAAATTTTACATTCAAGTATTTTTATTTATAATATAAAAAAGCGTTAAATAAAAGTATATCAAAATGTATCTTAAAAAGTATTTAAAAAGAGATACAGATACCTCTAAAATAATATCTAGATACAGGTACAACATTTTTAGATACGTATCTAGATATTTTAACAACTCTAAATTTAATAGAAAATAAAATAAACAAAGAAAAATAAGTTAAATTATCATAATTTGACACCTAAAAAGAAATTGTGTATTTTTTAACTCATTCAAAAAGTTTTCCAGTTTATATATAAAAATTAATTTTATAAAAAAAAACCTCGGTCATAAAAAAATTTTAAAGAAAAAAAAGATTATTTTAAATATTTTTATAAATTGCAAATGTGTTATTTTAATTATTTATGCAAACAAAATATTTTTATCTGGATGGGTTTTAATTTAATCGTCACCATGTTTCATTAAATCATCACACTGTAGTATTGATAAAAATATATAATATATTTTCTTTTCATTGGGGTATATTAAAAACTTCTAGTTATATAATAATTAAGGGTTATTTATAATATAAAATGCATATTTAATAAATTATATTATATTTAAATATAGCGTCCTTTATAATTGATTCATTTATTCCTAAAATTATAAAAGACTTAATAAAATATAAATTCTTATCTTCTCAATTAATATTTTTACTTTAATATTTAAATATATTGGTAATAGACATATTTGATAAGTTTCATCGTTTCAAATACTCTTTATAATTGATTTTTTTTATTCCTAAAATTAAAAAAAACTAAATATAATTAAAATTTTATTTTCTCCATTAATATTTAGGTATATTGGTAATAAACATATTTTTTGAGTTTTATCGTTTCATATTAGACTCTACTCAAAATATTTATATGCTTTACCGGAAATACGACATTAATATATTTTTAAAATAATTTTAGTATTTTCTAAAAGAGATATTTGAGCGCTACAAAATGTTATATAATTTGTTACTTTAGACCAAAAATATTCTGAGAAGAGGAAAATGCTCTCATTTACTTTGAAGGTCAATATCTCGAGATAATTTTGATTTGTATAAAAGATACAATCTATTTAACCTCCATGCCAAGTTTCATCAATTTTAAAATGGTCGTTCGAAAATCACGTTATTTTGGTCATCATAATTAACCGTTTGTTTTTTTTATATTTTTTGGCGTTTTAATAAATATTGATTAATTTCAATTAACAGATTAATGACCAAGTTTGAAAAGTTATAAAAAATTATGAATGCCATGTCGAAAGTCAATAAATCAGATGTTTTGAAAATTCGGATCTGATAATACTATGAATGCAGCCTTACATTTGAACCATTCAATTGTAAAAACGGTTATGCCTTAGCCGATTTCATATTACAATGGCTTAAGCCAAGCTGAAACCGTTTCATGGACTAATTAGTTAACTAAGCCAATATAATATCAAATAAATTCAGCATTGCTATCTATAAGGTGTTAAATAAATATTGGATCGATATATGTTATCACAGATAGGATTTATACAGATAAAATGAAAAATTTGTGAATCAGAACAGTCCTACTCCTAACATATATATGTTAAATACTACAGTATAAATATGATATGTATGAAAAACATTTCCATATATTGGTAACAACTTTCTTAAAAAATAACTTGCTGTAATTATTATTTTTAAATGTTATCAATATGTTATTTTTACAATAATTACAGCAAGTTAAAGAAATAAGAAGTTGTTAGAAATATATGGAAATATTTTAAAACAAATTATATACACAGTAATTTTGATAATTTAACAATATTAGCATAAATTCTAAAGGAAAACATATGTTTTATGTGAAATGGAATGGAGCTTCTGATTATTTTCCTCCAGGGCATATTTTTAAATTATTTATAATAAATAAATATGATTTAATTTTCAAAAAATCATAATTTTTTCCTCCCAAGCATTGGTAAGTTTTTATTGGCGTAATATTTACCTACTACATTGTGCATTAAAAAATCCATTTTCATGTGCAATAAAAGGTCCATTTTTATCACTGAATAAACCATTCAAAATGTTTCATTTAATTATATTTATCGTTCAATTTTTAAAACTATATCAACCTTAAATTCTTAATAAAAATATTTTGAAAATTAACAAAATAGAATGATAAAAATTTTTACTTGAATATCATTATTTTTGGCCACGTTAACAATAAATCGTTCTATATCTTGGGGTAACAGAAAAGAAGCTATGGAACAAAACCTATCGAATTTGATAGTTTTGTATACTTGAGCAATCTATATAAATGAAAATGATTATAATAATGAATTATTTAAGATAACTTGTTGTAGAAGCTTGAAGAGAGTCACTTCTTTGAGAAATGGTATGTATTGCTGGAGCTCTGGGTGTTTTTCTTTGATGTAATCTAAGCAAGTGCTAACTCTCGAAGCTAATTTTAATGGGTGAAAATCGACCTCTAACCAATCAAACAAATTTTTTAGTTCAATGGGAACGTTACTTATTATGTTGAAACGGATCTATTAAAAATATTTAAAATTTTACACATAAAATTGATAGTTGTTAAAATTTTGCTTATTTCCAATTTATTTCAAAAACTAGCATGTAAAGAGTTTGTCTAGACCTGTATTCCGCCACAACCCTTTTGATCATGGCTAGGCTGTCAGTAAAGAGATGTTGGTGGCACAGCATAAAGAAATTCATTTTGGTTATTATTATAAATAAATTACATTTGTAACTATAAAGTATATTAATATATATAAATATTTAAAATGATTCAAATTACTCCGATGATAGCGGTTTTAAAAAAATTATTAATCCTATATAAGAAGGCATGGATAATATTAAAATTAATTCTCAAAATATTAAATCTAATGTTGCAGAATTAGCCTTAAGTATTCGGCAAAATATAATCAAAGAAATAAATGATAAGTTATTATCTCTAAAAATTGATACTCGTCTAGACAGGCCCATTATTGGAATTAATCTTCAGTATATTCAAACTGAGAACACTAGCAAACTGCAGAAAATATAAAACTCCATTTAACCAAAGTATTAACAGATTAAGAAATCAAAACCACAAATATACATTGTAACTGATAATGGGGCTATAGTAAAATTATTAATGGAGGATAGCGATAATGACAATCAAATGTCTGAAAATGATGAAGAACAAATACAAAATATAGATAATTTGAATGATACTTCTACTCGTTTCACAAATGTACCTGATGAATTAAAAATCAATCTTAATTAGTTTTGTTTAATCGGCTAAAAATTACGCATAAGCCTAATTAGTAGCTAAAAATCGACTAAACCTCATAGGCTTAGACTAAAAATCAGCTAAAACTATTAGTCAAAAATTCTGCATCGGCTAATCGTCCGTCAGCGTGTAAGATATGCCAGGCATTAATTATAATTTATTTATTTTTAGTAAAATAATTTATTTTATTTATATTAAATATTAATATAATCAACAAATAAACAAAATATGATTTAATATTTTTTATTTATATTATTATATTATGAAATGAAATGAAATAATGATTATATTATGTCATGTTTTTTAATAAAAAAAATGATATGCTGCTTATTGTAATATTATTTTTGTTACAATTAATTTTAGAAAAATATTTTTTAAATTTGGAAAGATTTTTGAACATATTTTGATTTGATAAGACTTTTAAATCTTCTTTGTAAAATCTTTTTTGAGGAATTCTTTTGTGAATTTTATTATAAATAAACAATCTTTTCGGTGAAATTATAATTTTTTATTTATCATTTTTGTAAAATTATTTACTTTTTGAAGTAGTATATTAAAAGAGGTGGTTTTCTAAATAATGTTTTAAAAAATATTTATACTAAACTTATTCATGTAATTTTATATGATCTTTTTAAGGATAATATTTTAATGTGACAATTGTCATATTTGTTATTTTTTAACATTTTTCACATAAGGGTAAAAATATAATTTATATTGTAAAGATGTTAAATTATAAATTCAATAAAGATGTTCCTTGGAAAAATAAAAATTATCATAATAGGTTTAAACATTTTTTGAAGTTCATGGGCAAAATATGTATTTTTAACATGTTAAATTAAAATTTAAGGAAGATATACCATAGAAAAGTGACAATTATCATAATCGTTATTTTTAAAGTTTTTTGAAGCAAATGGGCTAAAATCTAGATAAGTTATAATTGTAATGGTTATCAAATTGATATCAATCATAAAAAAATTAAACTTAAAAAAAACATATATTGGATTATCACAGATGGTTTTCAACATATGTCATGCTAGAGAGATTGAATGAATTAAAAGATGTGTGAGGACTTATCAGTATCATACAGTGAACTTTATTTTGCAGCTTTGGAATGGGAAGCAATTATTGGGTTGATAAATTTCCTAAAACTAATTAAAGTAACTGAAGAATTTACAACTTAAGCAGCTATCTTTAGGGGATTTTTATGGCATATGGCTAAAAGCTAAATTAGAAACTTCTATTTTTATTTAACCCTTTGCTGGTTTAATAATAAATGCTATGAATTAAAATGAGAAACAACTTTTAAACAACAATGCCTTTTTGCTATGCTTATATCTTATTAAGGTATGTTAAAAAATATTATATTATATCTTATATAAATTTAATTAATAATTTTATTTTATACTTTATATATTTCTCTATCAATTCATAAAAAATAATAAGATTTTATTAAAATTCAATTTTTTATTAAAATTCATATACAAAAATGATAAAATATTATTATTTAAAAATTAGCATTATAATATAGAGAATATAATAAAATATGTCATATATCAGTTTAAGTTATAAAAAAGATTGATACAAATGTATATTTTTATAAAAAGAAAAAAACATTTTTTTTAAAAAAAGAAAAATATCAAATGGCGAGGTTGGGCCATGATGTTTTAACTATTTGAGAATTAGATCTAATTATAGATACGGCGATTTTCTGCTTGAGTTTGTAAAATGGAGAAAGGTATGATTTTTTTATTGATTTGGATATTATTCTGAATAAATCTAAAGCCGCTTGTCCAAAAGAGCAGGTTGATGTAACTGCTGTGGGAACAAAGTGATTATCACACATTGTGTGTGAGTATTTTATATTTTTTAGCGGCTCTGTTAAAGGGATCATGGGAATTATTAGATGGAGCTATGAGATCAATGCAGGTAAAATCCGACATTAAAGGCTTTCCCGTAAATGGTACGACGGTTTTGCCGTCAGGGGCTTTTCTATCTAAAAAGGATGTAGGTTCTAAAATACAGGGAAAATTGGTCTATTTAAAAAATAAGCTATTATTTATTTTATCATATCGGCTGATTTTTTATATAAATTTACAGTGGAGAGCGTGTCTCCCATCCGCGTCTGCCGGCTGATTGCATTTAATGCAAATATAATGGTTTAGGAAAGGTACGCCCAAGCGTAAATTGATTGCATAACGAAAAGCATCTTTATCTATTAGCTGGTTATTTAAAATGCTGGGATATGAATCTAATCATTCATGGCCAGAGTTGTTGAAATTAAAAACCTTGAACTGTTATTTTTATCAGAACCTGGACCAAATCTATATTTGTTTCGGTTTGGATCCCTGAATGTTGGGCAGTAGGGAGTATAAAAAAAGTCAAATAAGGAAAAGTCTCAATCAAAAAAGGAAAATTACCAAAGGCTTAGGAAAAAGTCCTATCAAAAAAGGAAAAGCGTCAAATAAAAAAGGAAAAGGTTTAATCAAGAAAGGAAAGGTATCAATAAAAAAAAGTGTGAATCCCCTAAAATAGGTAAAGTCTGAAAAGAAAGTGTCAATCAATAAAAATTCCATTAAAAAAGGAAAATCGCTAATATTTTAAATTTCTTGTCAATTTTTCTTAAATTTTTTTATTTATTTTCCTTCTAATTTTATTTCTAACTTTTTGCGATCTCTTTAAGTCATTCTTAATCTTTATTTTTCTTATCTTTTCTTCTCATTTTTTATCATTCTTTTTTGTCTTCTTAAAAATAATTTAATTATTTTCCCTGTCATTTTTCTACACTTCTCTAATTTAATGTCATTTTTAACAATTCCTTTCCCTATTTCCATCCTACATAACAATTTTTTGACATTTAAAGATTTTTTTCTCCCATATATATTTATTTTTTTAAATTTTACTTAATTTTTAATAAAAAAATTTTAAATATTTTTGCACATCAGAATTATTTCATTATAATTACAATGTATATTAAGAAACAAAAATTTTTAATAATTAATAATTTCCCCTCTTCTTCCTTTGAAATATAGGTCTTCATATTTCTAAATAATTTTTTCCTCAGATATTTCCCTCTCTCCATGCTCTATAAATTGAATTAATTCCTCCTCGTCATTGATTTTGATTTCGGACAAAATCCTTCCATTAGAAAAACATTTTTATTGGGATTAAAATAAGAGCTGTATGTTGGTAAATATTATATTGTATGCCATCTCCTTTCTATCCATTCTTTTATGATGAAATGAAACATTTCCCATCATAAAAATCAACAATTTAATGTTAAATTTACAAAGTTGCTAAAGTGTATAGCGTTGCAAGGACCATCAAAACCTCGAATCTAAATATTCCCACAATAGTCTGAGCAGCAACGATAGTATAATTCATTGCCATTATCCTTAGAACATTTTAAAGCTTTTTGATTTATTGGTGAAAATTAATATTGAAAACTCGTTCTCATCGATAAAAATTTTATCTTTCATATAGGCTACATCCACAAACGAATTTGTATTCTTTGCGAATCTCTATATTTGATTCTGTATTTTTTCTAAATGAACGTAAAACTATACCTAAATCCAGATAGTAACCTTTTTAATATTTCTATATTTGTACCATATCTCTTTAATTATTTCACTGAGGATAAAGTGCAATCTAAATTTATACAATTTAATATATATTCCTCCTGTTCTTGATTTAAGAAAATCCGGTGCGCCACTGCTGATATAAATGACAAAAAAATTAATGTGCCAATGTTATAAAGCCACTGCCACTAATTTACACATGATCATACAGGTCTAGTTATATACAATCCACAGTTAATATTGTTTTAATCTTATTTATATAAATATTTTTATTTATGTCAAAAAAAATTTCATTTATAAAAATAGAGTGTATAAAATCTATTATTTATAGCATTTTTAAAAGTAACAAGCTACACTTTTTGCAAATAGTATAACACAAGAGTAGGGCTGGCCTATTGATTTCAAAATATCATATTGGATTTAAACAATACTTTCTCTATATCATATTGAATTGTTATTGGTTTATAATTTATACTGGTTATTGGTTAGTTTTCATTATCCATAAAAGAACTTTAAAAATTCTTGATTATGAATAAAAACTTAAGGATCATTGCATGTCAAATGAGCAAAAAAATGAGATTTTCGGCCGACCCCCTTTGATTTTTTTAAAATTTGGTTAGCAAAGAAAGGTTAGTGTAGTTAAGAAATAGCCAAAATTTTATCCTCATAAAATTTATCTTTT